GGCAACATTTTCAGAAACTGGGGTGGTGATACTAGCATCTAGTGAGTAGAGGCCAGGGATGTTCCTAAAAACACCCACTATATCCAGGACAGTCCCCTTAGCAAAGAAAGAACCAGCCCCAACTGTCACTGGTGCTGACATTGAGCAAGCTTGATATAATAGACAGGAAGGAAGCAACAACACTGACTTTTGAGACAGATGTGTCCACACCGAGCTGGGTGATGTAGCGCATGCTTATAATCCCATCGACTTGGGAGGCTGAGGCAGGAGAATTGCAAGTTCAAGGCCATCCTCAGCAACTTAGTGAGACCGTGTCTCTAAATAAAAAATGAAAAGGGCTGGGGATGTGGCTCAGTGGTAAAGCATCCCTGGGTTCAATCCCCAGGACTCCCCCCACCACACACACATAAGAAACATGTGTCTGCACTAGTGAAAATGTCAGGCCTCCTCAGGCCACAGGCCACCTGTGCTGTGCTCATTCTTCAGCTCGGTATATTGAAACTTTCTGGCCATAACTGTTTCCATCAGTGAAGCCACAGCCTGCTCCTGCCCAATTCATTCTCTTGCTTTTCTTTTGGAAATTAATTTGTTTCTCCCCCTCTAGGAGAAGGAGGCTTATCACACCTCAAGTTGGCTTTTGCCAAACTGGGCAGTTGCTGTTTTTGTAGCTCCTTGGAGCTCCTAATGAGGCACTGTCTGTCATTAAATAAACAGTCAATTAGTTTGGGAAGAAACTGGCCTGAAAGAGGCTTTTCATGCGCTCATAGCTATTGACATTAGCCAGCTTTGCGACAGTGGCCTGCCTGGGAACCACCTCTACCATTAAAAAGAACAGTAATGAGGATGGCTTATACTTCCGGAGCGTGACAACCAGAGTGTTCATATACATCATTTGGTTTGATTTGTCATGTCAGCTGTTAGCTGTATGTGGTGTCACTTTGTGCAAAGGAAAGTATAGCAATATACAGGAGGAAGGGCATTAGGACAGAGAATAAGAACAGGGAGGAATCAGAAGGCTTTTTTCAAAGACCCACATTAGATGAAAAATTAGAAATTTAATTCTGCTAATGGAGGACAAAGGCTTTGCCAAATTGATAAAGCTTTGGGAAAATCTAGTTATGCAAGGATGCAATTCTAGGTGAACATATATGGACTTTCTGGCTCTATTCTGTATGTTTTAGTTTTTTAAAGAAAATTATGTGACCTTTTAAACAACACAGAATTATCTTGGCTATTTCTACTTTACATGAAGTATGTTTTCTCCCTTAAATGTACTACATAGGAATTCTTGCTATATTTTAATTTTGTTCTCACTAAATAGAAGACCCAGATATTTTTTACTAGAACATATCTTGCATTTTATCATGGGAAGTAATGTGAAAATAAGAGCCACTTGAATGAATTTTAAATTATCTTAAAAAGAAATTTTTGTTAAGTGGCTCTGGGTATTGATTTCCTTGGAGGGACAATGAGGAAGGATTATGCCAGAGCATATTTCACATTATACAAATGTTCCATGAAACAGGAAAATTGCAGAGGAATTAGTAGCCAGAAGGAATTTTAAAACATGCTTTCTTGGTGATGAATGATTCTTCACTGAGGAGTCATTCTGAGGACATAAGGAACCTAAAATATGATTTAGAAAGTTGTAAAATAAATAAATAGATAGATAGATAGATAAATGAATAAAAATAAGCATTCCTTTTTTTCCCCTAGTACTGGGGACTGAACTCAGGGGCACTTTACCACTGAGCCACATCTCCAGTCCCCCCCTTTTTAAACATTTTTTATTTTGAGACAGGGTCTTGCTAATTTTCTTTGGGCTTTGACAAGTATCTAAGGCTGGCCTTGAAGTTATGATCCTCCTGCCTCAGCTTCCCAAATCACTGGGATTACAGGCATGCACCATCCAGCTGGAAAGAAAATGGGCATTTGAAAAAAAATCTTTGTTAGCTACGTGGCTAGAATAATCTGTAGGAAGATCATTGTGCAACTTGAGTTCTGTTGGCTGAACAGTCAGTTATATAGCACAGAATGGCTTCTTGATTTTTAGCATACAGTAGGTACTTTTTGAATCCTCCCCTACTCATTTGTCACTGTGGTGATACCACAGCACTTGTAGCAGGTAGGATCACCCTGGCTTAGGAGAGTTCTATGTGTCCCATTAGCCTTGGGTTGAATCTAATATATCCATTTTGTGTTAATCTTTCTCATCCTTTGATTTTCAGAAGTATTCTTGCTGTCTTTTAGTATGGGACTCAAAGAAGTATTTTCAGCTCTGAGAGATATTTCCCCTCCTATTTGTTCTGTATATCTGGCTTTTCTGGCCAAAGATGGATGCATACCTCAAAAATACCATAAACATGTACTCCATTTTCAATGTTGTTGACAATTTTTCTTCTTTACTGATTCAAATGGATTATCATAAACATCAGTGAGACATTTGAGGCTGCTTATGAAATGGTACAATGGTACTTTCAAGAATTGTCATACATCATAGTCCTAATGACAGTGATGAAGTTGTAAATAAGGTCAGAGTGGTGAATTGTTCATTTACCTACAGTTTTTTAGAGTGAAGTTACCGAAGGCATCTACTGGAGGGTTTATGAATATTTTGTCTAATATCTTTGATTTCTGTCACTATGAAACAGAACTAAGTTGTCTTCAAAATAAGAATATCTTTTCTATTCTGCCTTTACACTTGTATCATTATTAAAATAATATTCCCAACAGTGTGCAGTATCCTGAATCTGGGGCCCCAGCTATTGGGGAGGTGGAGGCAGGAGGATCATTTGAGCCCAGGGATTTAAAATACTCTAAAGTGATGGCCAAAAAAATTATTCTACTCTGCCAGTTCCAGAATTGAATGACTTTGTTAGACATTTTAAAGAAAAACCAATAGCATAGCTAATCACAATTCTCCTCTTTTGTGCCAAATTGAATTTTACTTTGGTTTTAATTTTCATTTTAAATACTGAAGGGAACAAGCCCGTCACATACCAGCACCTGTCACCTTTTTGTCTGAATGGGCCTACTTGTTCTTTGCAAGACATGATTAAAACTTTCCCATTAAGACACATCAGAGGTTTTTTTTTCTTCTTTCTTTCTTTTTTAATCACAAAGGAATCTTTTTTTATCTAAAGTCTGCAGCTTTAGGCTGCTGTGTGTCTCACTCCCCTCACCAGAAGACAAAATTGGCTGGGGCCATACTGAAGGGAATTGTTGATTGTGGGTGTGATCTTCTAGGACAATGGTTAAAGTGAAAAATGAGATGTAAAATTAGTATCCAAACAGGCTTAACTGGTTTTCAAAATCTTCTCTTATTTAACAAGACAGAGGTATTGAATATAAGAAGGTTTGGGGGATTATCTAAAACCAAAGTATTCAAAGATCAGGTTGTTAAAGGATTTGGATTCAAGATCTTGCACATTTTTTAAAGGTGTTAAACAATAAACCTTCAAAACTTGGGAGAGCGTTTTAGGAGAGGGAGTCTCTAACCTGTTTCATATATGTTCCCAAGATGGGTGTTGAGCCCAATCAGCTAACAGATTCTCTTTGCTCAGGGAATCCTTCACCCTGTAGTTATCAGTGGTCATCTTTGTATTTGAGTTGAGTTAAAGTTTTTAATAGGGATAAAGAATGTAGGTGGGCCAGCCAAATGCATTTTTAAAATAGGGCAGAACCTGGTGCCGTAGTCCACATCTGTAATCCCAATAACTTCAGAGGCTGAGGCAGGAGGATCACAAGTTTGAGGCCAACTTTAACAGTGTAGCGAGACCCTGTCTCAAAATGAAAAAAATAAAAAGGGCTGGGGATGTATAAAGAACATCTGGATTCAATCCCCAGTATCAACAAACAAACAAACAAAAAACCCCATGATTGGTACAATAGCCTTTATGCCAAATATTTAGAATGCTTTTGAAAATGCCGTTTTGATTTTGAGTGAGGAGTTTTAATGAATAAATCACCATATGGAAATAATCACATCCAATTTAAAAAATGAATTTTCATGTCAAGAAACCACCGAAATGTCGGCTAGAAATACTTATAACATATTATGTTTGTTTTTAAATAAGGAAAGTTTACCTTTTTATAAATTTTGACTTGAGTTATTAAAGTTTGCTTTACTGTCACATATATTAACTATAGACAAAGGAGTGAATTCTAATACCAGATTGCTACATTGCTATTGCTAAATCCACGTTTGGGTTTTCTTCTCTCTTGCGTACATTTTCTTTCAGTCTTATGTGTGTGTGTGTGTGTGTGTGTGTGTGTGTGTGTGTGTGCACGCACGTGTGTGTGCATTATTTTTTTTTAAATCAGCTTGTCTATCTAGAGATTCTGTGAAAAAGAAGTATTAAAAAAGCAAATAGAGACTATCGGCACATCCTTTGAATATGATTTCCCAGGGCTTGGGGATAAATGAAATGAATAAAACTGTGATGCACCAGAAAGGGGTGGCATGGGAAAAAAGCCTGGTGATTCTGGGAAGACACACATTCTCCTAAGACTGCATATATTGTGGCCGACCAACTAAGTCACGTGGTGGGAGGGGGCTCTTTTCTTTCTCTTCCACATCCCTTCCTCTGATGTCACAAATCTGTTCTTTCCTGGGAGAATTAATTAGTATTCATTGGGTGCAGTTGGCAAGAAGAAGGGGAGGGAGCGATCTTAAGACAGCAAGGAGGAAGAGCTGTGGGGGAGCAGGTCCTTCCCCTGGGAGCCACACAGAGCGGAGGCACAGTGGCGGGTGCAGAATGGTTGTTTTATAACTGGGATCCTCGGTGACGTATGGCTGCCTGTTCCTTGGCAGCTGTCTTTATGGACCAGTAGGCAGAGCGAAATTGACGCTGACAAGACTTTTGCATCTTGGAAGGGACTGTAATCTACTGTAGTGAAGAACAGAGCCTTTCAATCAGGCGGGTGTAAATAAGAGACGGAGGGGAGTCCAAAGAAAAGGAAGAGGAGGAAAAAAAAGTGTGTGTTGGGGGGAGCAGGGAAAAGCATTTTTGGTGGATGGTATGAAGCCAGCCATGGAAACTGCAGCCGAGGAAAATACTGAACAAAGCCAAGAGAGAAAAGGTACCCAGTGCTCCGACAATAGCCGGTTTTAAAGCTTTTCACTGAGGGTGCTTGAAAAGGGGTTAGCAGGGTTTTGTCTCTTAAATGGCTCTGAAACAATCCCTATGGCATGATCTTGTTTGCAGGGTGGTGTTTTCCTGTGGGCTGATGTTAGATGAAGAGAGCAGCCTCTCTTTAGTCCATTCCTGTTGCATATCTTCCTATGGAATGTGCAATTTCATAGAAGGATGTCCATAGTTTGTCACCAAGGGGAGTTGAATATGGGAAACTGTCTTTTTATTAATGTAATTAATCATAATTTAGCTTTTACGTTGTGCATGTTATATTTCAGGGTCACAGAATGTGTTGTTCTCTGCCAGTGCCAAGACGGAACTGGAGGGGCATGCATGCTAATTACACTTTGGTTCCACTAATATAGTAGTGATTTAGACATACCTTCATTTACTTATTCTAGTGTGATTGCTCTTTCTGTGTATCAAGCCCCAACTATGGCCCGTAATGATCATTTACAGTTGGAGCTTCGGAGAGGGCATAGCTCTGTTGCCTAGTACTGATAGAACGGAAGGGGTCTTTTGCTACTTATGACTTAGATTTGAGGGAGGAAAATTGAAAGGTCCTGTTCCCTGAAGGAAATCTTAGACCATGTCACAATTTTGATATCCAGAATAGCTTTTTGAGAAATTGGTATTGTTGCAGTATGAAAATGACAGAAAATAGAAGCTGAAATTAATCTCTTTTCCTAAATAATGACCGATGTCAAGTTTGATGCCCCATGGAATCAGCTCAGCCCCTGTTTGGTTAATGGCATCTCACTGCATTGTAAGTGATCTCCCTCACTCAAAGTCATGGACTGTCATAATCGCACAAAAACATGTTCTATATCCGCAGTGGCTCTGATGTTAAAAGCTACCATGCTAAGGTTATTTCGCTCAACGGCCCTTGCGCTCAATGACAGTCACTAAACTGTAGTAATTCTCCAGAATAGGGACACAACTATGTTTTTCTTATGCCTATATAGGTTGAACCATATGAAATTCCTGATGGTCAACCATTTTAAATTTACAAAAACTGGTGACTATATGTAATTCCACTTAGCATGTTGGGGTAAAGGCAGCTTGTTTTTATGCAGAATTTCTTCTGTGCACATTAACATTTTTATCCTGAACAGACCAATTTCATTTTAAAAATAAATTTCTTAAAGTATGATAATACACATAATATAAAATTTGCCATTTTAACCATGCAAGAATATAATCCAGTGGCTTTAGGCAAATACCAATCTAATTTTAAAGTTGTTAGTTTGGTTCAATCCTTGTGTCAGACCGACCTCCCTCCAACAAAAACCCACCCTGTCTTCTCTTGTATGTGCCTCTTTTTTTTTTCCTTTTCTCTAATCTACTTTAATGACTGAATAGTGATAAGAAAAACTCTTGAATATTTCTCACGCTGAGGAAGTGAGATAAAAGTTTAAAGATTCATTTCCATTATTAGAGACCATAATTAGAGACATGATTGCATGTTTGAGAGATATAAGATCCTAACAGCATCATCCTGAGGAATTCTATCACTGTTTATAGCATTTTTTCTAAAGCAAGTGATTTTGTTTCATGTGTACTTTTTTTTTTTTATTAATATGATGGTCTCCCGTGGCAGATATAAAACGTTTTTTTTTTTTCAAAAGCAAGCAAAGGACATATAACTGATACAAAATCCTTTCTAAATAATTGTGAATTTCATAATTTAGTCTCACGGATTGCTATTTTATGTTGATTAAATATTAATACAGGTCTACAGATTGCCACTGCATCCCTTACAAACTGTATGTGAAAAATGCATTAGCTGTGGATTTACAGGCAAAATTAGAAGTGGAAAGATCATTGTGGAGGAGCTTTTAAAATTACCAAAATTTATAAACATGAATTGTTTGTTCAATAATTCATTAGCACCAAACGACCAAAAGATAGCATCACATGTATGAAACATACTTAAATAAGAATACAGGCCAGGAAATTTATTTTTACTGATCTGGAGCAAAAAGGATTGTGCTTGATCTGGAGACTGGCTTATCTAGTGATCTCCATTTAGACGAACAAGTTCCCATGTTAGCTCCACAAAGTCAAACTCATACAAGTATCTTCCTAGTTCCTCAATTTGCTTGTCCATTGTCATTAAGACCCACATAAAATAATAGCCACCGATGGTCATGTGTACTTGTCACTTGAGTATTACAGATTTATTTTTAAGTTTATAAAACAAATGCTTATTTCATTGATATGAACATTTAAAAATTTGACATCATTACTTATAGAGGGCATTATATAATTCTGGAACTGATAGACCCTCCCTCTCTGCACTTTTCTTTTAAGGCTTTCAGAAAGGATTCTTATTCCTGAGTTTAATTCTATACATTTTGTCACTTCATGCAGTTTTTCATGCTGATATTACCCCTCCCAACACACACACACACACACACACACACACACACACACGTTTTCAATTGTAGGTGACAGGGGCAAAGCCCATCTCTTAATTTGAGGTATTATTGCCCTACCCAGTAGCTTGTGAATTAATAGCTTTGGATAATTATTATGCTATTAAGAATGTAAATTAAACTTAGATTTCTAAATTGACCTTAGCTTTTCTAGTTGTCCTTTCCTGGGCAGGAGAACACGTCCCAGCTATTGTGATTCACAAACTCCCACAGAGAGAGCTGTTTATTTAAAAACTAAATCAGAATGGCTTTGTTCCTATTTTAGACAAAAATAATCCAAGGCTTCACAAAAGAAAAGCATTTGTGTTTTTGAAATGGTCTCATAGCTTTGCTCACAGAATGCTACTGGATGACCAAAATTCACAAAGAGTGTTTAGTATATATTCAGGAATTTTTAAGGAAAGCAAATAGCAGGCTTTCTCAGATGCATTGGTAAAATGCCAAATTGTTACAAATGACGGTTTTTAAATTGAGAGCATTAAATTAAATCAAAGTGTGAGGATTGATTGAGTAAGCAGATTCACTGCAAATGAAATAAGTGGAGGAAATGAATAAGACAGAATCAAAGGAAATAGATCACGGGATCCAATAATAAAAAGATGGAGAGTTAGGTTTCCATTTATTTCAGTGGAGTATTACTTGATGTCAATTCATTTGTGAAAACAGATGCATCTGAAATTGCTGGGAGCATGTAATCACTGGGTAGAAAAACAATTGAATCCTAACAACTCTGTATGCTCTATTATATGAAAAAAATCTGAGTAGCTGTGATGAAGGTTATTTTTATGACATATAGGAAATTGGATTCTACTGAAATAATTATAGTCAGGCTAGTTCAGTTCCTATGAATTATTGTGAAATAAAATCCAGAATCTAGGCATCAAATTAAGTTCCTAACCACATAGCAAGAAAAATGTAGTAAATTGGAAATAATGTTTAATTTAAAATAAATTGCAGGATATAGTCAAGAATAAGAAATGTATTCAAATTGACTTGTTTGTAAAATTAACAGATCCATTTCCATCTTTTTTTGATCAAATAGATATGATTTTCTACATGTTTTTAAAATTAAAAAAAAAACATGTATACTTTTGACTCTCCTTTTTTTTTTTGTTTAGGAGCAAAAGCACTCTTTTAGAACATATGACTTGTATACTGAAAACCAAAGGGGTACATTTAACATGTCACAATATTCTTAACGATCGATGAGTTATGCATTTTTATTGACATTTTTTAACTTGTATTTATGAATGTGGTACGGAGAAAGTTTTAGATGCACTTTTTCTCTAAGAATTTGCCAAGGTGGACATCTGAAGAGATGGTGTCTGGGGAATAGGCTATAGAGAAAAGTGCCTGGCCAGATGGTGTGAGACACATGTGGTAGGTATGATATGGTGTCATTTGATTCTTCTTCTTTTTTTTTTTTTTTTAAAGAAAATTTAAATGTGGAGAAAGATCTCAAAGAGCCATTTGGTACATCTGCCACTTTTTACATTATCAGTTCCATAAGCATACTTTTCAAGACTTGGTCATGCTAATTCATTAGAAAAGAGTTCTGGTCTATTTCTGGAAACTTACCTTTTGTCTTCCTTGGAACTGTCAACCCAAATTAAGATCGTACATTTTAAGATTATGTTTCTTTGTCACTTGGAAGTACAAGTCAATTTAAGGTAAATGATCTTAATAAAATATTTAGTCTTGCTATATTTGAGAACATGCAAAATAGCCTGTGTCTGCATGATGTAAGCGTCCCCTTCCCAGGACTGGTGTTGGATTGTTCCAAAGATACTCCCCTCCTTTTTTCTCCCTTGGACCAAATGCATGCATGTGCACACACCCACACACATGCACACCCGTGCACACGCATATACACACACACACGAGATGTTTGGCCAGGAGTAGAAGTGGCTATGGGATGAAGAAAGAACAGGACGCACATTGGCTTTTAGAGAGGGAAGCTACAATTCCAGTTTTGCAAATGTGCTTTTTTGCTCCTGATTTATTTATTCATTTATTCACTTCATTGTGTTCTCCTTTGAAATGTTATCCCCTGTCCTCTCAGCATTTGTTAGAGGAGTGAAAGTGTGCTAACTCATTTTAGGCACTATCATTAAGAGTGGTACAATTTCAGCTGGCCATGGTGACATACACCTGTAATCCCGGCAATTTGGGAGGCTAAGGCAGGAGGCTCACAAGTTCAAGGCCAGCCTCAGGAACTTAAGAAGACCCTGACTCAAAATAAAAAAGGGCTAGGAGTGTGGCCCAGGGGTTGAGCACTCCTGGGTTCAATCCCCATTACCAAAAAAAAAAAAAAAAGTAGTATAATCTCAGGTTCCATAATTTTGTTGGATTGGTGGCAAATAAAATAGAAGACAACAGTGGCATAGAAAATTTTGATTCTTAACCAGCCCAGTGATATTTTTCTTTGGAGAGTGTGTAATAGGAGAAAATAAAATAATATCATACTTTATAGGCTGACTTTATTAGTTATATTAACTGATTTATATAATCAAGTCTTACTATGCTATATTTGGCATCACAAGTCATACTTTTTTCGAAATGTAAAGGACCAGGTAGCAAATACTTACAGCTTTGCAGACCACAGGTCTTTGTCACACCTGTTGAAATCTGCCATTGTAGCATGAAAGCAATCATAATATGAAAACAAATGATTGCAATTGTGTTCCAGTATAACTTTTTTAATAAAAACAGATAGCCAGCTGGGGATATAGCTCAGTTGGAAGAGTGCTTGCCTTGCATGCACAAGGCCCTGGGTGCAATCCCCAGCACCAAAAAAACAAAAACCAAAAACCCAGATAGCCATCATTTGCCAACCATTACTATATTCTATATTCTATTGTATTGCTATGGCTTTCTTTTATATTTTAGCTAATAGCTAAAAATGAAGGATGATAAATATAGCTTTGAATGATCAGTGAATATGTTCTCTCTAGGCAGCTTAGTGATTGTCACTTAATTGCTTCTAATAAACAGGAAAAAAAGGAATGCAGCATTGTTTTGCTTTCTTTTCTTTAGTTTCCCATTGTTCATGTCATGCCCAACTTTGGTGATGAGCACTCACAGTTGTGTGTCTACATAAACCACCAGCACTCACCACATCCCCAACTTCTGCTCTCAAAGGGGGACATTTTGCAGTGTTTCCTCCATAAGGCCTAAACCATTTCCTCATTCTTACCAGATGCCTGGAATGAACAGGGTGTTTTGATATACCCCTGGAGCTGAGGCTTTTTATAATCAGGTAACTCCCTTAGGTGTTGGGACCCTGTCCTCAGTATTCAAATATATATTGTGCTCTCTGAAAATTTACAGATAGCCTTATATTTAATGTCTCAATTTTATCTCAAGTTTATTTTATACTAAGTTTATCTCTGGGGCTGGGGATATAGCTCAGTTGGTAGAGTGCTTGCCTCACATGCACAAGGCCCTGGGTTCAATCCCCAACACCAAAAAAACAAAAACAAAAAGTTTATTTCTAAAATGTAAAATCCAAGTGATTTTCTTTTCTTTCCTATTTAAAGATTTGCTGTTGTAAGAAGACCTCTCCAGAAATATCAGTTCAGGGAATGGGAAAACATCTATGCAGTTGCTGATTCCCATTTGTGCATCTGCTGGGGTAGTTACGTTTGAATGATGAATTACGTACCTCAAGCGTGGCTGCCAGAAGACACACTGGTGTTAGGAAATCCATGGTTTTCATTGATGTTGCCCAGCAGCTAGGACGGATTCACTGAATGTCTGCAGACTTCCCTTCCCATGTAGAGAGATGAGGGCAGGATAGGGACAGAGCCTCTGAATTGCATGGCCTGGCTAGAGTAGAAGTCTACAGGGTAGGGAACCTGGAGGGCCATTCTGGGTCCATGGGCTCCCAGTGTGTTTCCTTACTTTCAATTAAATATTCATTCAGCTAATAGTTATTAGGCACCTACTGTATGCTGGGTGTGCAGAGATGAAATCTGAAAAAGGAAGATGAGGGACTGGGAGTCTAAATCAGAAATAGAGCACTTCCTAGCATGCATGGGCCCTGGGTTCCATCCCCAGCACCCACTCCCCCCAAAAAAGAAGGATGAAAATTTTCACATTAAAAGTGACTAAGGTACTTAGAATCCTCTTGTTTGGGGGACCAACATGAAGGGCTCACAGCCACTTTGCTAAGAGGAAATTAGATTGTTCGATGAGGTGATTTGACCTTCTGGTTCTTTCTAGCCTCAAGAGTTCTTTGCTGCAGAGAACATAGCACCTTTGAGAATCTCCTTGAAGGCTGAGGATTATGAGCTTTTATAAACCTGAATTAACATCAGTAGCTGAGGACCAGGGCCATTTCTTTAGGAGGCACAGCACAGCTCACCTCAGCATGGACCTCAGAAAAACACTGCTGCCTCTGGAAAAAGTAGAGAACAGTCGCAAATGCACAGGCTCAGGAGGTTGCGGTGGTTTTTTAAAGTGCGCCCTCTGGAGGCTGATCGCCCAGGTGCACACCCAGGCTCCTCCACCCACTGGCCAAATGACCAGTGCCAAATGATCTTTACCTTTTTGTCTCCCTCCCTTCTTCATTTATCAAGACAGAATAACAATTTCATAAGGTAGTTGTGATGGATAATGGAACAGGAACCATGTGCTCATTAATATGGCAACTAGCACATCATAAACACTTTATAAATTATAGCTGTCACCCTCAGCACTGATAACAGAAACAACAGTAGCCAAAAAGTTTTGTTGTGCAGTTCTGATCTTATTCAAGTCCCTTTTATTTCTCCTTTTAGACAAAGCATTTTTATCTTACTTTGAAGTAAAAAAGGGTCTCTCTAAAGTGTCACCTAGAAAAGTAAGTCTTTGCTTCCCAATCTGAAAATTCTTAAGAGTTTTCAGAGAGAGAGGAGCGTGGAGTTGGGATTCCACGCAGGCACTGTCAGATTTTCAGTGTACCCTGTCAGGGTGTTTGCTGCTTTGCCTCCCAATGTGGATATTTACTGGGTCTTTATCGGCAGCCATCTAAGGTGCCAAATGGAGCATTAAAACTGCTCTTCTGATGGAATCATTGCCCACATCAGTGCCAGAAGCATTTTTTTTAAATCTCTAAATATTTGTGATACCCCAGAGGACATAACCCCTTATCCAGTTTATAGAATTTTCAGACATAAACTGGCCATGGTGACCTGAGTTTGTTAGGGATTTCAAGATTATAATTCAACTGTTACCAGAAGCTTCTTCTATGCCAGGCAAATTGGTAGGTATTTTCTTCTCCATTCCCTAAAAAGTGGGAAACAGTCATATTGACAGAGACCCAAGTCCTCTGGAGGCCAGTTGTCGACACCTGAGTAAGCTCTGACTTGAGCCCCAGACCTGCAGCCCTTTCTTCATACTGAGAAATCATTGAAATAGGATTTAACGTAGAACATTCTAGACTCTGATATTCTGAGCTGAAGGAGAGGTGACACAGAATACCACAAATGTCAGTGGAGGACAGATATTTTATCCAAGATTCAGCAGGCTACTGGGTTATGTGTCAGATTTTTAGGACTGAAACTGGGGACAATTATAGAGAGTGAGCCTATGTTCACCTTTGCTTATGCAGCTGGCAAAAATTATAGTGCTCTTTTGGTCTGAAAAGGAAATTAAAGAGAAAGAAAAATCGTGCAAAGCCAAATTTTAACTATAAATAGTGTCTTTTCCAAATGAGCATTTTGAGGGGTGGGTTGGAGGGAGGAGGTGGAGACATGAACAAAGGAAAGGAGATTTTGGTGATCTGTATAAATTGAAATTAAAAGATGAAGGAAGCGACTCCAACATTCTTAAATGTATCATGCAGAGTTGTTGAACTGATACTGAAGGATTACATTTCAATAGCATATATTTAAGCTCCCATTTCCTTGAAGTATATGGTAAAAGAATAAATAAAAATGCTGATATAGAATCTTTGCTGGAGATAGAGACACTGACTCTTTGCCACCTGAAATTGGCAGTGAACAGCAGAGCTGAAATGGAAATTGGCAGGTACCACTGGATGTACCCAGGCTCAAAGAACCACCAGTACCATCCTGTGCCAACCATGGGGGACAGGGCTAGCCCCTTGAGCAGTCCAGGTAAATACAGCCTTGGGGTGAATTCTAATAGCAAGTCAACTGTTCTCTTTACTATGATTTGTAATAGCTCTTTCAGTTTCGTGATATTTTATGTTTTGCTTGATGCATTAATTTGTTGACATGGGCATGGGTGGAATTGGCCCTTTAAAAATTTTTTAATCATCTTTCATTTTCTCTCCCCCTTTCCATTCCACCCCATCTTTCTCTATTTTCTCTCCCTCTTTCCTCACCCCACCTCTTCTTCTCTAAGGGAGCAGTGTACAGTAAGATAGGCCTTGGGGCTAACATAAAATTTTGGATGTCTGAACCAATAATGGGGAAGGGGGACCATATATGTCCACCACTGGGCCTGGAACAGGACCAGGGCAGACAAGGAGCCTTGGATGTAGGAGTTCTGAGCATGCCCCCAATATCTCTTCAACCTGGCTGTTTTGTGTCACCCTCTTTTAACATTGGTCAATGTCTTTGAGAAAGAGAAATCCAAGCATGTGAAATTAGGATTGGATCAGTGTGTGTTCGACTCCCACCAGGTAGGTCCCTTGGATTCAGTTTCCATTTTCCTTGCTCTTGAAGAGCACTGGTGTCTCAGACCACTAGGTACTGGGTCTGGATGAAATCCATGATTGGTTTTGGGGATCTCGGGGAAGGGAGAATGCTGACCAATATGGGCATCTACCCTTTTGTATCCCAAAGTTTACATGTGGCAATGTTCAGCTCAGGTGGCGAAAACTCAATGATTTAGCTAACATAGAACTGTAGTTCAAAGTATGTCGGATGTGACATAAAGGGCTGCTGGCGGGTCAGATAAACACAACAGCAGGCTTAAAGTATTGCTGTGATTTTTGTGTCACCCATAATGTCATCTCTCCCAAATGGCTGCTTGCTTTGTTAAGAATAAATCAGAAATGGCAGCTTAGCAACTACAGCTCTGGAAGGAACAATCCTGAGATACAGTGGAAGATATCTATTGAATGGCAAAGTCATAAAACCCATTATTTCATAAAACCATCTTTTTTTCTTCAAGACCTAGATTGTGGTGTCAGGTTAATGGCCATGAAATCTGACTTTCTGTCTTAGATCTGTTAGGTACCAGTTCTGTGTGTATCTGTGCAACGCTGGTTAGAAAAGGTGAGCAGAAATGGATCAGACATCCATTCTCATAGATCTTTTAAAGAATGTAGGGGGTACCAGATATGGTGGTGCATGCCTGTAATCCCAGCAACTGGAGAGACTGAGGCCGGAGGATTACAAGTTTGAGGCAAGCCTCAGCAACTTAGAGAGGCCTGGTCTCAAAAAATAAAAGGGGGGCTGGGGATGTGGCTCAAGCGGTAGCGCGCTCGCCTGGCATGCATGCGGCCCGGGTTCGATCCTCAGCACCACATACAAACAAAGATGTTGTGTCTGCCGAGAACTAAAAAATAAATATTAAAAAATTCTCTCTCTCTCTCCTCTCTCACTCTCTCTAAAAAAAAAATAAATAAATAAATAAAAGGGGCTGGGGATGTGGCTCAGTGGTTACGAGCCCCTTGGTTCAATCCCTAGTACAGTAGGAAAAGAAAAGAAAAAAGAAAGGGTTCTGGAATCTTAATTTAAAAAAAATTGTCTTTAGACATGATATATCCAATATAATACTGTTCAGTAATAAAAAGGAATGAAGTATTGACCCATGCTGTGACATGGGTCAATGTCAAAAATATGATAAGTAAAAGAAGTCAGACACAAAGAGACCAAATGTTATATGGCTCCATTTGTTTTAAATTTCCAGAACCGGTGAATCCATAGAGACAAAAAATAGATTACTGGTTGCCAGAGACTTAGGAAAGTGGGGAATGGACCACAACTATAGATGGGCACAAAGAATGATGAAGATGTTCTGAAATGAGATTTTGGTGATGTAAATTTACCCGAAACCATTGAGTAGTACATTTGAAACAAGTGAATTTTATGAACATAAATTGTACTCCATGAAGGTATTTTAAAAAGTGCCCCCCCCAAGCTATTAGACATGTGTAATTTAAGGTTGTCGGGTATTTGTTAACAAGAAAGCCCCTGTTATCAGAAACTACTGCTTGAGGCAGGAGGGTGGTCATTTTAAGAATAAGTGTTAGGGGTTGGGGCTGGGGCTCAGTGGTAGAGCGCTTGCCTAGCATATACAGTGCGCTGAGTTTGATCCTCAGCACCACATAAAAACAAATAAATAAATAAATAATGTACTGTGTCCAACTACTATATATAAATAAAAGAATAAGTGTTAGATGACAGTTTATGCTGTGTAATACCACCACCAAGGGTTGGGTACCGCTTCAAATCCCATCTGGAGAGCCTGAGTCAGATGAATAATGATTGTCAACAGCCCCTTGTCCATTCAGGTCTGGTTTTGGCACCAAAGAAGTTCAGGCCAGCATAGGTTTTTCTGCCAGATAAGTTAGGCGATAATGGATTTTATCTGAGCATGCTGGTGCACACCTATAATCCAACAACTTGGGAGACTGAGGCAGGAAGATTCAAGTTCAAAGCCAGTCTCAGCAAATTAGCAAGGCCCTAAGCAATTTAGCAAGACCCTATCTCAAAAATAAAAGATAAAAGGGACTGGGGGTATAGCTCAGTGGTAAGCACGCCTGGATTCAATCCCCAGTTCCCTTCCCTCCAAATCCTCGATCTTGAAATGGTCTCAACCCACACAGTTTTAACTTTTTTGTGCATGAACTGCAATCATTGGTGAGAGGGGAAATGCTGCTGAAGCACAAAACATCGGGATCATTTGTGTCTGTGCTGGCCATGGAGACCTTACTCTTGATAGTATAAAGAGAATGGTGTAGGCCTCAGAGAAGGGGGCTTTAAACCGACCATGCTGTCACCTTTCCAGGCGCTTAGAGGTTTTCTTGGCTCCAAAATCGATGCAGTTGCCATTCTGTACTTAGATCCTAACCAGATGGTGTGAGGGAAAAAATAGAGAATTCCATATGGCTCTTGTGTCTTTTTTTTTTTTTTTTTTTTTTGTATAGAGTTCTCAGTTTCTTTCCACTGGGGGAAAGAGGTTTTGATACAGCCTGACCAAGAAGTCTTTGCCAAAGGAAAATGCCTCTCTCACCCACATAGTCTTGTCTTGCAGCAGGGGCTACCATTTCTCCAACTTCCTTATTCCCCACCACAAATGTCAAGGCTGTTCTAGTGTCCTTTGTCTTGATTTTTTTTTTTTTTGTCTTTTTTTTCCCCCCTGCTGCAGCTTCCTGATACAATGACTTTTTAAAGACCTAGGTAATAACTCTTTCACCCTTTTTTATCTTTTCATTTTTTCCATACATCTGGTCTAGGCCTACAAAGGTCAAAGGAGGAACCCCTTGTAAAACTGCCTGAAGGGCCTAGGTCTGAGATAGTAATCTGCCGCTTATTGCAAGGGTGAAACAAGATCTCATGCTAGATCTGCATTCCATGGAAAACTATGCTTAAGGTTTAGGAAACATTCCCAGGCTGCTATAAGTTGTGTTACATAGGCTTCAGAGAATAGTTTCAGAGAACTTAGATTCTCTGCTTCAAGTGTGGGCTGTAGCTCAGCAGAATTGGCATCTCCTGGGAATTTGGGAGAAAGGCACAATCTCAGGCCTCCCTATCTACACTGAATCAGAATCTGTATTTTAGTAAGATTTCCAGGTGATTCCTATGCACATGAAGGTTTGGGAAACATTAATTTACAACCAAGTCCATGAACAAGAAAGGCACAGACAGAAGGAATCGAAGATGTGAACTTACCTTCAAAATCTAGAAATTTGTCTTTGGAAAAGAGAAAAAATTGCTTAAAGTATTGATTCTTTCTTCTTTCTGTCTCTATTTATGGAGAGGTATGAGAAAGATGTGTCATGGTAATCATGAACAGGAGTCCTGGTTGGTTTGAAATACTGTGACCTTTGATTCTCTTACCTGCTTGTCTGATGAAGGAGATTGGGAAGGGGCTGTGAAGGTGGAAAAGGTTCATTTTCTTGGGCAAAGAGAGGGCCAGAGGAGAAAGTTAGTAATGGGAGTTTGAGAATAGTTCTCAAATGCATCTCATGTACCTCTTGAATATAATTTATGGCATATAAGCTGTATTTATTATTTAATGTAGGCTGCAATCCAATGGACCAAGAATGACTGCTCATATATACAGTGGTAAATCTGTAGTTGAGAATTCAGCCTGACAGATAAAGAACACAACAACCATTAACTTCACCAACCCATCCCCCTCTCCCAAATCTGAATAGCTCTGATGTTTACTTAGATTGAGATGGCTTTAGACCATTCCAGAAGTCCAGAAAAAGATGGTGCTCTCTCACCTATGGAACATAATAGAGGGGTGAAGAGAGGAGAGCTGTGGAAATGCTGGTGTTCAGCAAGATGCCCAAATGTTGTGCTTTGCATGGTCAACTATGGATTCCCGAGCAGCCATGGGGATTGGTGACTGAGAGGGAGGGAGAAGTATCTTGAGTGAACTGCTATGACTTGGGTTCTACAGTCTCACTCTCAGGACTCTGTTCAAGGCTGTGTATGTGTCCAGGTGTGACCTCAGGCAGGCTACCTGAGAACAGCAGACTCCCTCTTCCTGTCCTCTGACTGCTGAGCCTGGGACTTTCCTCTCATGCAGTTACTTTATGACCTGGCAGCTATGGGTAGGAGTCTTGGAAAAAGCTGTTGGCTTAAGGCCACCAAGTTTGAGGTCTTTCTCCAAATCATTTTAAATGTATTTCAAGAGGAAAATGCCTCCCACTGCAATTGTATGCACCATTGGGGCCTGTGCTTGTGGTTGGGTGTCTGCCGTAACCCACGTGCCAATCCTGCTGTGCAGGTTCTGGGGCACTGCCTCACTGTTCCCCAGAGCCTGGGTGCACAAGCTTTCTGAGCTTAGATGGCTCAATCCAGGGAAGCTCTCAACCTGTCGGATGCTTCCTGTCACTCTGGGTGTTTCTGGTGTGATGGAGGGAAATGGTGAACAAGCATACTATAGCCCAGGTTCATGCTGCCAAGTT